AGACCGAAAGTAGGCCATACAAGAAGAATTGGACAAACTTCTCAAGGCCGGTTTCATTCGAGAAGTACTCCACCCAGAGTGGCTTGCCAACCCGGTCATGGTCCAGAAAGCCAATGGGAAGTGGAGAATGTGCGTGGATTTCACCGACCTCAACAATGCGTGCCCCAAAGATTACTTCCCTCTTCCTCGAATAGACCGATTGGTGGATACAATATCCGGTTGTAAGTTGTTAAGTTTCCTTAACGCTTACTCGGGTACCATCAAATCAGCAAGGGAAAAGAGGACGAGGAGAAGACATCATTTATCACACCCTTCGGTGTCTTCTGCTACACCATGATGCTTTTTGGATTAATCAGCGCCGGCAACACATATCAGCGTGAGATCCAAGGGGCTCTTGGTAACCAACTCAGACGAAACATCGAGGCTTTCGTCGATGACGTTGTCGTTAAGATGAAGATCGGTGACACACTAATCGATGACCTCGGAGAAACGTTCAATAACCTCCGACGACATCGCCTCAAGCTGAACATAGAGAAGTGCAGGTTCGGAGTACTATCAGGGAAGTTCTTCGGCTTTCTCGTATCAGGAAGAGGCATTGAAGCAAACCCTGAAAAGATCAAGGCCATCGAGAACATGAAGTCACCCACCTGACTCAAGGAAGTTCAGAAATTGACCGGATGTATAGCAGCACTTAGTCGCTTCGTAGCCAAGATGGGAAAACGAACACAACCTTTCTTCACTTTACTCAAAAAGCAGGACAAATTCGAGTGGACTCAGGATGCTGAGAACACGTTCATCACACTCAAACGCTACCTGTCAAATCCATTGTACTCGTTGCCCCACAACCTAACGAAGAGCTCTATCTATACATCGCTGCCACACCATATTCTGTGAGTACAGTTATCATCGTCGAGAGGGAGAAGGTGCAACACCTAGTGTTGTATGTGAACGAAGACCTCCATGACGCAAAAGCCAAGTACCCACATATTCAAAAGATGCTCTACGCTGTAGTCATGACATCAAGGAAACTGCGCCTCTACTTCTAGGCACAAAAAGTTACAGTTGTCTCTTTTTTTCGCCTAGGAGAAGTCGTCAGGAACAAAGACGTTGTCGACCTCATTGCAAAGTGGTAGTCGAGCTCAGTCAATTTAATGTCCATTTCGTACTAAGAACAACCATCAAATCCCAAGTTCTCGCTGATTTCGTAGCTGACTGGACTATCCCTGAAAATAGACCAACCAGCCAAACGGATAATGAGACATGGACCATGGCATTCGATGGTACACTCAACAGCCAAGGAGCAGGAGCCAGATTCATTTTGACTGCTCCAACAGGAGATCATTTCAAACATGAAATTCACCTCAATTTCCGAGCAACAAACAATACAGCCGAGTACGAAGGACTCCTCACTGGTATTCAAGCAGCCGTTGCACTAGGAGTTAAACGATTGATTGTGAGAGGGGACTCAAAATTAGTCGCAAACCAAGTGGATAAGGATTACAAATGCTCCAATCCTGAGTTGGCTAAGTACCTCTTTGAAGTCAAGAAGCTAGAGCAGAAGTTTGACGGCATCGAGGTTCGACACGTTTATAGCAAGGATAACATTGAACCAGATGACTTAGCACGACAAGCATCCTGAAGAGAACCTCTTGAACTAGGAACTTTCTTAGATGTCCTGACAAAACCGTCTGTAAAAGAGTCGCACGACGAAGGTACCATGGCCAATACCGACAACTCCTCGGGGGCTCAAGAGGTCGAACATGTCATTGTTGACATCAAGACAATGAAAGACTGGCGAACTCCACTTATTGACTTCTTGGGTGCTGACAAGTTGCCAGAGGACAACGCAAAGGCAGAGAAGCTATCTCGACAGGCCAAAATTTACTGTTTGATCGACAACGATCAATACAAAAAGGCCCCGAATGACGTCCTCCTCAAATGCGTTTTGACCGACGATGCAAAAGCCTTACATCTCGACATCCACGAAGGAATCTGCGGATCGCACGTCGGCGGGCATACCTTGGTCGAAAAAGCTTTTCGACAAGAGTTTTTCTGGCCAACTGCCCTCAAAGATGCTTGCGATATGGTAAGACGCTATGAAGCCTGTCAGTTCTACAGCAAACACACCAAGATGCCAGCACAAGCGCTCCAAACTATCCCTCTGACATGGCCGTTCTCATGCTAGGGACTCGATATACTCGGACCGTTTCCACAAGGATGAGGAGAATACAAGTTCTTGTTCATTGCAATCTATAAATTCACAAAGTGGATTGAGGCAGAGTCCACACGAGAAATTAATTCCAACAATGCCATCAACTTTATCAAAGAGATCTTTTGCAGATATGGGTTGCCTCACCACATCCTCACCGATAACGGCTCCTAGTTCACAAGCGAGGATTTCTAGGAGTACTGCATTGAACTAGGAGTCAAAATTTGCTTCGCTTCAGTTTCCCATCCTCAGAGAACAAGAACTGGCTCGGGACGGTGGTAGCCCACTTCCTCTTTGGGTTCTTGGTGCCGATCCCACTCGGCACCGACCCAACCGTTGTCGTTGTCTCCTGAGAGACCTTCTCATTCAAGGAGGCAGCAGCTTGGTAGTCGACCAGTGGTCCAATGGCATCAACTAGGGGAAGTGCATGCACGAGGTGAAGTCACTTCGCCTTCCAAGTACAGAAACGAAAGTTCGACAAAATCAAGTCGGGCACTCACGTTAATGATGACGGTCCGGTCAGCGTCCGCGAACTCATAGATGGCACTAGGCGGCTCGTGTCCGCGAACTCGTAGATGGCGCTGGGCGGCTCGTCGACGCCCAACGCCGCGCTTATCAGCACCTGTCCCACTCGCTGGGACACCGTCTTGTCGCTAAGATCTGCAAAGGAAAAAGGGACAAGATTGTTTTAGAATAAATACAAATTCCCCGACATCAAAAGAATAGCGGACACGAGGACACCAGAATAAGTACCCCGCGTCGAGATCCACGTCATGTTGTCCTTCCCCGTGTAGTCAAAGGTTGGGTGAGCGTGGGCTTGGAGCAGTTGAATCCGCTGGGAAATGAAGTCTTGAGCGACTTCATACCTAGTTAGACCCCGTTCTCGTAGGCTACTGATGGTGTTGACGAATTCTAGGAGGGAGGGAGTCAGTGGGGGTTTCAAGGTCCAATCCTGAGAACGTTCAGGCTTGTCCTCTAGAACGATCAGAACAAGATCGAGATCCTGTAGCTCGATATAGAACCACTTTGATCTCCAGTGGCTCCGGGACAAATGGCATTTGAAGTGGATGTAAAACGCTTTCATGCAGTCCTAGAGACGAAATCCATAGCATCCGGAGACCAAATCTGTTGGATTCCTTCCACCGGAGCTCATAGTAGTAGTGAAAAATATCAAGGAAGGGTACCACCCCAACGTAGGCTTCGCAAAGATGAGCAAAAATACTCAAAAAAGCGATGGAGGTGGGGTTAAGGTGCAGAAGAGAAAGGCCATAGAAGTTCAGAATCAGAAGGAGGAATTCGGATAGCGGAGGCAAAAAACTGCAACGAACAAAGTCTTCAACAATGACCATCCGACTTAAGACCAATTAAGGATGATTACCACCTTCCTCCCGCACCAGGTGCTCATGGCCGGGGAGAGCTCCTTCTACCTGTAGCTTCTTCATGGCTGCGGTGTCGGTGCTGGAAGCCCCAAGATCCATCACCATCGTAGGATCACCGGAGAGGAAGAGGAAAGTTAGGGTTTTCTTCAGGAGATTGCAGAAGCTGAGAGTCTGGACGCAAAGAAAGTTGGAAAGGCCTTTTTTTGGCAAACAGACTTGAAATGGATCCAGAAACTTCTTTATATAAGCGCACTACTTGACAGTTCGTATTTTGAGGGAAGGAGAGAGATTGCCGCTGAAATTTTCTATGACCCGTTGCTGACAGGATTGATTGGACTTCAAATTAAATTCACCTATATAGACTGTTGAACTTCCTCCAGTGTAATTGAGAACTCAGTGTCTTTTCGATTCTTATCGAGAATGACCAGAAGAGAGCTATAACATTGACCAGGAAGTCGCGGATGACAACGAGAGTTCATTTAAATTGAAGTTGGGGCTACTGTCAGGGTTACGAATAAGGCATACATCCTATCCTACTATTCACCAAGTGTACCAGATTGGTATACCTCATATCCTACGATATGTTTCCATATGCAATAAGGAAATATACAAGATATTATGGAAAATATCTTTACGGGCCGGAGACTATCAGAGTCCTACTCAAAAAGGATAGGGACTATTCTATATCGTGCAGGGTTCGTTGTCTCCGAGTTATACTTGGAGACTAAGGCAACTCACAGTGTAAAAGGCACACCCCCGGAGGGGTTCAGGATCACCGAATCATAGCGCCAACACACCCACCATAGTCTACAAAGCCAAAGGACTCAAGCCGAAGCCACGGGAGATCTCGTCGAATAGTCTCGACAAGGATCTCATCGGTATCAACGAGTTCATCTGTTCTCTTTGTACTATGTAGTTTTCCATATCAATCTCATATAAACTGGATTAGGGCTATTACCTTATGAGGGACCTGAACCAGTATAATCCTTGTTTCTTGTCTGTTTTGATGTCGTATCGTATAGATCCTCGTACCAACGTACCCCAATATCCCATTTATCCGGTTTATAGGTATCCCCCGTTAACATAACTGGATCAAATCTGACGGTAGTCCCTATTCATCGTCTGAAAATCAATCATCTCCAAAATCATTTTGACAATAATCTCCAAATATCAAAATCAATAATCTTAGATGCCAATTATTCATCATAAAATAATAATCAAACACACTTTGATTTTACACATTAGCCCCTTTTCACTTTTGGTTTTAACAAATTTGTGCCTGTAAAATATCATTCACTTACAGTGTTAATTTCATCGGCTTGAAGTTTTTTTTTATAAAAAAAAATCCATCTCCATCGGTCAAAACTCGGAATAAATGCATTGTTTTAATTATACATACTCATAACATGGTATTTCAAATTTTGTTACAGATCCAAACATATTAACATTCCGAGTACATAAGATAGTAATTAAGAATTATTTTACAACACAAGGACCTTTGTTTACAACATTTAATAGAATTGAGAACACAAACATGCATGCCGGTGGATCGTAATCTCACTGATGCGTGATCAATTGATTCAGTGTCACGCACTCGCTAAATACTCTACCGAGGTGAAATACCAAAACAGCAGAAGATGACCTTTGCATTTTATTCTTGATAGTGTTGATTAATTTTCCTTCAAACCACGTGAGAGTGGGTTACGCAGCACGATTGTCTCTATTGTGACTCCAGGTCCAAAGGCCAGCAACACTCCCCACTCAGGCTGTTGCTGCATGTCTTCTTCCTTCTCCCGATGGCGGCGTAGTTCATCAAGAACAAATGCAATTGTTGCACCACTCATGTTCCCGTACTCGCTCAGCACTTGGCGGCTCGCCGCAAGCTTCCATGGCTGCAGTTGGAGCTTGTCCTCTATGTTATCAAGGATCGCGCGGCCGCCAGGGTGCACTGCCCAGAAGAGGTCGTTCCAGTTAGGATCTGTGTTTCCGACAGATCGGAACACATCGAGCAAGCACTGATGGATGTTGTCCTTTATCAATGTCGGCACCTGGATGGAGAGGTGAAAATCTATGCCACTACTAGTGGCCTGCATTCCGAGTGCGTGCTCAGTTCCTGGTATCATGGTTTGTGAGGCGGCAACCATCTCAAATAGTGGATGCTCGCCATCGGCCGAGGGGTCGGCACCGACGATGACTGCGCCAGCACCATCCCCGAACAGTCCATGGCCAACGATTTTACTTTCATCCGGGGTAGAGAAGCATATCAGGGTCAGCTCAGAGCAGGCTACGAGGACACGCGCACCGCGGTTATTCTCGGCAATCTCCTTTGCAAGCTGGAGTGCCCTGCCACCACCTGAGCAGCCGTGAAGACTGAGAATGGTGCGAGAAACGGAAGGGCGAAGTCCGAGCAATGACGCCAATTGGAGGTCAGCGCTAGGTGCACGACAACCTGAGTAGGTGCTGAAGATAAGGTGGGTGATGTCAGTAGCCGGACGACCCCACTCAGCAATGGCTTTCCGTGCAGCGGACTCGGCGAGCTTGGGGACCTCGGTAGCCACGATGTCTACACGGGTTTCAAGGGAGGGCACGTGTTTGTCAATGATCTCTGGGTGGGCACGGATGATCTCGGCATTAAGGTGGATATAGCGCTTCTCTATACCAGATTTATGACCTGAAATACAAAAGGAAAACCCACGCGTATATTGGTTAGTACTTAGTAATCCTGAGGTTAGATATAAAAAATTAAAACATATGGTTGGACATTTATACATACTTCAAATTGAAATATGATGAGCAATTAATGTTTGCTTGAATAATTATTACAAAACTTAAAATATATGATATTATGCAAGCACTTCCCTTAACAAATTAAATCACACTTTTGATTTATAGGAAGATGTACATGTCTAAATTTTCGGAAAAGCGCCATATTACATGAGTTTTATTCAAGCACCAGTTGTCTGACGATGTAGTCGTGAATCCATAACTCTACCAATTAAGTTCCACATCACAGTGCCAACAATTATGAACATGTGAGTTCTATTTCAGTAGAAAGATTAGTAAGATCGCAAAATCTATTTCTAGAGGCATCTCGATTTATAACGAGCGACACGGATAATTACGTGAGAAGTACTAGTAGTGTGACCGCAAAATCTATTTCGAGAGGCATCTCGATTTAGACTTAACGAGCGACGCGGACAATTACGTGAGAAGTACTAGTAGCGTGATAGACATGCATCAAGTAGTTTTTGCTATTAGGTTGTGCATATTTTTTTTCTTCTTATGAAATTTTCTCATATGCATGGATTGTGTTTTTGTTAAAAGCGTACACTTCCTTATATGTACATGAGTTCTGTGGCGTGTATGTGTGATGGTAGCGTGAGGAGGTGACAATATGTGGAACAGCTAGCTATCATATTTAACAAAACCATGACAGCAAAAATTATTTTTTTTGTTCGAACAATTACAACACAAATATATGACATCATGAAAACACTTTTCTTAAAAACACATATTTAATTTCTATATGTGTCCTACCAAATATTTAGGTTTATAGCCTCTTTTTATCTCTACATACCATAAATATATATATGGTTCATATTGAATGATAGCAGTATACTCCTTGATATCTAAGCAATTGCATTTTTTTTCTCAATAGAGTTAATAAAACATGATTAATAATAATGATGATAAGTGCAATGATCAATTTACTTACATATCCTTTTCATCTTGTCCTTTAACTCAGTAAGTTGCTCGCTTTTGGTTAGACCAAAGTAGTAGTCAGCAAAGTCATCTTGAAGGATGATGTTTTCCGGGTTTGCAGTGCCGATGGCGAGGACCGTGGCAGGGCCTTCCGAATGCTGTGTGCACCTGCGGCTGTCAACAATAGCGGCGGTAGTTGCTCCAGGCATGGTCGATGTAAAAGAAAGAACTTGTGCTTGTGAAATTAGTTGCCTTTAGAGAGAAAGAGGTGGATATGTGATGCGTCTATGAATGAAAACTCTAGCAGCTGCCTATTGGCTTTATACTAGTTGATCGATAACCTGGCCTTGTTAGCTCTCAAATATGTTTCCATTATTAAATGACATAAAAAATTTCTGCAAGAAAACCTTGATCACATGTTCCATGTAGTGTTAATTTAAAACAAAAATATTTTTTTCTATTGACAACATATAATATAACCAGAACAAAATCACATGAGAGATTTTTCTTATTACAGATCGTGAGGTCTGCATGCCATGGCCTGTTCCAAGGCG